AAAAAAAAAAAACCAACTCACTGCTGTTGAGTTGGATCCGACTCATAGCAACCCCTCCTTGGGTTTCCGAGACAGGGTCACTTTGAAAGTAGATTGCTCAACCTTCCTTCCAAGGAATGGCTGGTGGGTTTGAACCTCCAGCCTCTGGTTAGCAGTTAGATGCCTTAGACACTGTGGCTCCTTATATGCCAGATAACAGTGAAATATAAAACATCCCTGGACCCTGTGAATAACCTTCATCTTTCTCTGGTTTTATCAAGGATGTCATCATCTCCTGCCTGGAATATCTCAGGGTCTTTCAAGTCTCAGTGTACAACTGAGGTAAGCTGAGAGGTATTTTGAATAAGGACCAAGGTTATATGCTTTTTTCTGAAATTTTTTTTCTCTTGTGTTGGAACATTGAAACCAAAAACCAAACCCACTTCTGTGGAGTCAGTTCCGACTCACAGTGCCCCGAGAGGACAGAGTGAAACTGCCCCAGGGGGTTTCTAGTCTTTATAGAAGCAGACTGCTTCATCTTTCTCTTGCTGCATGGCTAGTGAGTTTGAAACTGCTGAACTTTTGGTTAGCAACCAAGTGCTTTAAGCACTGTGCCACTAGGGCTCCTCTTGTTAGAACATTACATCTAGAAGGTGCTGCCAGAAGGAATCTGAATATCTGTGATAAATTCAGGCCAATTGTTGATTTCAGTAATGCTTTAAAAAAAAAACAACAGTGCAACTGAGTCAGATCCCACTCATAGCGACCACTCCTTGGGTTTCTGAGGCAGTATCACTATGGAAGTGGATTGTTCAAAACCTAGTGGATTTGAACCTCCATCCTTTTGGTTAGCAGTCAAATGCTTTAGGCACTAAGCCACCAGAGCTCCAGTAATTGTGGATCCCACTAAATTCCTTCCCTTAAAAGAAAAACAATAACAACAACAACAAAAAGAGCAGGTGTCATTCTTTTACCTGATCTCTTGAGAGGAAAGAGAATAACTGTGAACGCACAGGAGTCCTGGGTGGTGTAAACAGGTAAGTGCTTGCCTCCTAACCAAAAGATTGGTGGTTCGAACTTACCCACAGTTGCGTCACAAAAGGCCTGGCAACCTGCTTCCAAAAGGCCCCACCTGCTTCCAAAAGGCCCCAGCCTTAAATACCCTTTGAAGCAAATTTCTTCGCACATGTAGGGTTGCCATTTATTGGGATTGACTTTTGGCAACTGCTTTTTAAGAACACCACAGCTATTACGCTATATAAAAGTGACTCCTTTTACCATGCTGTCAGGCTAAGCTGGACTGATACACAGAGTTTATACCCTAAGATTTTAGCTAATGCATTAAAGTCATTCATTTAGGGTAACCATGTTTTTTCACAGTCACGTGGAATCAGTTTATTGACTTCCATATTCTTTCCATTAGAGGCTTTAATCCATGAAGTCATTAGATGCAACTAAGCAGTGTTGGCCATCTGAATGCATTCCATGCTTTTATTGTTGTTAGGTGCTGTCAAGGTTCCAACTCATTGCAACCCTCTGTACAACAGAACAAAACAGTGGTCCTGTGCCATCCTCATATTTTTGGCTGTGCTTGAGTACACTCTTACAGCCACTGCGGCAGTCTGTCTTACTGAAGGTCTTCCCATTTTTCAGTCACTCTACTTTACCAAGCAAGCATGATATCCTTCTCCAGGGAATGATCCCTTCTGACAACATGACTAAAGTTCGGGAGACGAAGTCTGGCCATTCTTACTTGCAAGGAACATTTGTTGGTTTTTCTGGCAATTCATGGTATTTTCGGGAGCTCTGGTAGCGTAGTGCCTAAGGCACTTGACTACTAACCAGAAGGCTGGCGGTTCAAACCCACCAGCCACTCCTCAGAAGGAAGATGGCGCAATCTACTTCTGTAGTGATACTGCCTTGGAAACCCAAGGACGGGTTGCTGTGAGTTGGGTCTGACTCGATGGCACATAACAACAACAACAACAACATGGTATTTTCAGCATTCTTCGCCAACACACAATTCAAACGTATCAGTTCTTTTTCAGTGTTTCTTATGCATTGTCCAGCTTTCACATGCATCTGAGGTGAATGAAAATACCCTGGCTTGTACGTGAGATTCTAAGTATATTTTGTGTCTTGCATATTTGATGCTACAGTTTGATGAGAGACTGGTGATTAGTGATCTGTTGCTGACTAACCAGTTATCCCCAACTGTATTCATTCACACAGTTCTTGAAGGTCAGGAATTTGGGAGTGGCTTAGCTGAGCAGTACTCTCCTGGCCTTTCGTGAGGTTGTAGTTAAACTTTTTGGCTAATCTGCAGTATCTCAAGACTTGACTAGGGCTGGATGATCTGCTTACAAGCTCCCTCACTTGGTCGTTGGCAAGAGGCCCAAGTTCCTCACTGGGCAGGCCTTTCTGTGGGGCTGTTCCAGGTCATGGCCGCTGGCTTTCCCCCTGAGCACGTAATCCAAGAGAGGGTACGTACCCAAGAAGAAGTTGAAGCCAGAGACTTTTTTATCACCTAATGTCAGAAGTGACCCCTATCGCGTCTGCTGGGTGGGAATGGTCACGCCCGTCCACTGTGGTATAGTGTGGAAGAGTCACAGGGTATGGACATCAGGAGGCAGGATATACTAGGCTAGTCTTGGTGGCTGGTCACCATAACCATTTAATAACCAAAAACCAAACTCACTACCAACAAGTGGAATTTGACTCCTAGTAACCATCCTTTGGGTTTCCTAGGAGGTAAATCTTTATGCAAGTAGATTGCCCAACGTTCCTTCTGAGGAGTGTCTGGTGGGTTTGAACTACCATCCTTCTGTTAGCAGTCAGATGCCTTAGGTACTGTGTCACCAGAGCTCTTACACCCATTTAGTCACCATTAAAACTCTGCTAACCAGGTGGCTGGCGGTTCAAACCCACAAGCCACTCCTCAGAAGGAAGGTTGGGCAATCTACTTCCATAGTGATACCACCTCAGAAACCCAAGGGAGGCTCATTGTGAGTCAGATCAGACTTGATGGCAGTGCGTTTTTTTTCTCCCCCTGTAATTTCAGTTGCCCTTGTCCTGTTAATATGGGTGAATGAGGAGCTCTGGTGGCTCAGTGCTTAAAGTATTTGGCTGCTAACCGAAGGTTGGTGGTTTGAAACCACCATCTGCTCTGTGCAGGAAAGATGAGGCAGTCTGCTTCTATAAAGATGTACAGCCTTGGAAACCCTTTGGGGCAGTTCCGCTCTGTTCTGTAGGGTTGCTATGAGTCAGAATCTTCTTGACACTGGTGGTTAGCCAAATTTACTCAGAATAAAAGCCAAGGAACTTAGAATGGACTACGTGGCCCTACGTGATCTTTGATCTCTTCCTCCAAATCCTCTATGTGTTTACTAGAGCCAAGCCAGTCTTGTTAATTTAAGGATATTGTTCCAGCAGGTGTCTCCTTTCTCCTGAATTACTAGATTTTCTGTATGACTGGATCTTTCTCATGGTTAAAAATACTTATCATGATTCCACCTCATGAAAGATCTCTTTCCTGATGCCACATCCTTGTTTTACTTGATTTATTATTGCTTGTTTTTACAGCACAATTTTTCCAAAGATGTCTGTATTCACTGTCTCCAATTGTCCCATTTTTCCTTAAACCCAC